AAGCTCCTTGGATGACCCTTGTGCACACAGACTGGAGCTTGTTTGGATGCTGATGGAAAGAACCCAGGAAACGTAAAGCGAGATGGGAGGGGAAGGAGAAAGCACTGAAAAAGGCCCCCGAGATGACAAGGGGGTGAGAAGGTGCCCAGCGTTCAGATGGAGGAGTGGTCCTTGCTAATCCACCGTAATGGGACTAAGGGAGACACAGTGGGTCACTTTATAGATCTAGTGGTGGGAAAAGAGGAGGGGCCAGTCAGTACTCGCACACTTGTTCCCTTTTGTAAGGAAATATTATTTAAGTCTATGTTTAACAGCAGACCAAGAGTTCCAAGGGGCCAAGACCATGGCGTTTCCTGCTCCATTCCTCATGGCCTAGCATGGAGCAGTGCCAGGCCCAGAGTAGGAGCTGTATAAATGTTTGTTGAATGACTACATGTTTCTTCTGAGGTAAGGGGACTCTTGTTCAAAATCCGACAGATAGGACTGGAGTTAGGGATTAAGACAGGTAACAGGTGGATCTGGAAGGCACAGGTAGGCAGAGAAGAGGTGAAGCATTCAGGATGAAGGCAACAGGAAAGGGAAGGAAAAGAATGCCGAGGGAAGAAGTGCTGGAGCAGGCAAAGGAGCACATCCTGAGTGGGAGGCAGGAAACAGATGCATACTGAGGAAGAAGAGGGAAGCACCCCAACCCTCCACATCAGCCAATCTAGACCTTCTCTTTCAGTCCCACCGCCCGCTTCCTGACATGCCATCCTACAGTAAAGGCAATGGAATGGATGAGCCGATTAACCAGGTGCCTCAAAATCAGGGAAAATATGGGGATGTAAGAAATCAAAGATGGGAGTGAACAGAACTGTCTCAAACAGTCTTTTGGAGGCACACAGAGCCCAATTCACCTATCCCCTGGGCTATTTCCTTTTACAGCCGCTGATCCAATGCCAGAGCCAACCCCCCAGTGGCCAACCTCCAATTTGTTTCTATCAAGGAAATTCTCAGGGGATTAAACCTGGATTTGGAATCAGGCAGCATCCAAAAAACTGAAGCAAAAAATGAAAAAACAGCAGAAGTTGGTGTGGATGCGGTGATCAGGGAACACTTCTACACTGCTGGTGGGAATGTAACCTAGTACAGCCACTATGGAAAACAGTGTGGACATTCCTTAAAGAACTACAAGTAGAACTACCATTTGATCCAGCAATCCCACTACTGGGTATCTACCCAGAGGAAAAGAAGTCATTATAAAAAAGAGATACTTGCACACACATGTTTATAGCAGTACAATTCGCAATTAAGTCGTGGAACCCAAATGCCCATCAATCAATGAGTGGATAAAGAAACCAGCGTATGATGGAATACTATACAGCCATAAAAAGGGATAAATTAACAGCATTTGCAGTGACCTGGATGAGACTGGAGCCTATTATTGTAAGTGAAGTAACTCAGGAAGAGAACACCAAACATCATATGCTATCACTGATATTTGGGAGCTAAGCTATGAGGATGCAAAGGCATAAGAATAATACAATGGACTTTGGGCACTAGGGAGGAAGGATGGGGGTGAGGGATGAAAAACTACAAATAGGGTGCAGTACACACTGCTCAGGTGATGGGTGCACCAAAATCTCACAAATCACCACTAAAGAATTTACTCATGTAACCAAATATCACCTGTACCCCAATAACCTATGGCAAAAAAAAAAAGATTGAAGGATTTTTACATGACTTTAGACTGAGATCCTGGTTTTAATTTGGAATTAAGAATGCTAGTGTAACTAGAATTTTCCAGTTAAAAACAAAACTTTTAGCCAAGATACAAAGGAAAGTAAAAGTCTCATCCCCCTCATCTCCCCAGCACTGCCCCACCGCTTGTGCCCACAGCCAGAGCCTGAGGAGACTAATATAGATTTGCTTCTAATGTAACATCAGAGTCATGGTCAGTGGAATTGGGATCAGTATTGGCTTTTGCAGAAATCGGCAAAAACAAAAAATCATCTTTGTTTCTGGAAGAAGAGTCATGCCTGGGCAGGGGACCCCCATCTCTGCTTCAGGCCTTATGTGGCCTCCATGCTGCTCTCCCTCCTTAACTGGTAAGTCACTTACTGGGTCTCAGAAGTCCAAAGAGAAGCAGCCACAGGAACCAGAAGGCAGGAGAGATATTTCCTCTTCTCATCTCTAAATGATGCACATAGAAGTTGTCATTTGGATGCCTGGGTTCCAGAGGAAGGATAGGCCAAAGAGGCAGAGAGACAAGAGGCACACCCCCTGGGCCTTGATAGAAAATTAAAGTTGTACAAAAAGACCCAAAGGCCAGCCAGTGCCAGGGCAAGCCTTGCAGGCAGGTGGGATGGTTGTGAGGAGTCCCCAGATTGCTCCACAGTTTGGCTTCTTATTTTTCTTCTTTTTTCCTCACAAGCATATCAGTGGCATTTATAGCTGATACTGAGTAGGGGAGGTCAGAGCTTTGGGTCCTCCCTCCCCAGGGAGGGGCATCTCCGCGCTGTACTTTCTGCAGGGCCATTTGGAGAGGTGTACCCTAGAGGAATCAATGCAGAGGAGAGAGTCAAGTCGGCAAGACCAGAGGGTGCACACAGGAGAAGGGGCAGGGAGGGAGGCGGAAGGAGGGGATCAAACTTGTTGGAGTGGAAGGGACCCACCCTTTGAACAACAGCTGACCCGAAACCTGTTTTCCCTGAGTATGCCTCATTTCCAAAGCAGGGGGCCTTTGTAGAAGAAAGAAGGAGGAAAAGAAGAAAAGGAAGCAAACGGATGATAAAGGTCAATAGCAGTCTATCTGGGGGGAGCTGGGAATTCGGAGAGTGAGAAGAGCATCAGGACACATGCCCAGTTTTCTCCAAAGTGCTTCTTTCCAGCCGCAGAGCAGCACTTGGCTGTGTGAATGATACACTCCACTTTCTATGAACTCTCCAAGGGTGGGGAAGGTGGACACTGACTGAGTCTCACTTCTAGTATCGAGCAGAAGTGAGTAGGGAAGAGGATGGGGCTGAGAACTACTAATTTCCCTGAGTGGATCTTTGGCAATGGCTCTTAAGCATAGGTCAGGGACTCTAACTAACCTGGGTTTCTGTTTCTAGGCTCACAACTAGCAGTTAATTGAAATTTACCGTGTAACTCAGATATGCAAGGAAAAATGTAGTTTGACTTGCTATAACTCACCCAACTTAGTTTTCAGACTCTCTTTTCCACCAATGGCATGGAGGGCTGGGGTGGGGAATGGGGATATGGATTTAAGCTTGCCAAATCTTGGTGATTAAATTTCATTTTCTTTTAAAAGTGTCTCTGTGTGGTTCTAATTATATGAAATTCAAGTACAGGGAAAAATCAATTGATGATAATTGAAGTCAAAATACTGGCTACCTCTAGGGTGGCATTGCTGGGGAGGAGGCGGGGGAGGCTTCTGGAGTGATGGAAATCCAGCACATCTTGGTCTGGAAAGTGAGTGGGTTAGGGTAGGCTCTTGTTAAGATTCAACAGTTGGCCGGGTGTGGTGGCTCATGCCTGTGATCCCAACACCTTGAGAGACTGAGGTAGAAGGATTGCTTGAGCCCAGGAGTTCAAGACCAGCCTGGGCAACATAGCAAGACCCTGTCTCTGTTTATTTAAAACAAACAAATTAAATAATTAAATTAAATTCAATGACTTAAACACTTATGTGTCCACTCTGCACATTTTACTGCATATATTTTAAGCCTCAATGTAAAAATTAAAAACAGTCAAGGGTACACACTTTCAGTTATAAAATGAGTGAGTTCTGGGACTCTAATCACACGAAGACTGTAATTAATAATGTATTGTCTATCTGAAGTTTGCTAACACACATAGAAAAAGTGGTAAATATGTGGTGATGATGTGTCATTAGTTTGACGGTGGTAATTATTTCACAGTATATACTCATCAAATTAACACGTTGTACCCTTTAAAACATCTCATTTTTATTTGTCAGTTATACCTCAGTAAAGCTTGGGGGAGTATTAAAAACAGTAAAAAAGAAAAAAAAGTTGGCCAGGTGCAGTGCCTCATGCCTGTAATCCCAGCACTTTGGAAGGTCGAGGCAGGCAAATCACAAGGTCAGAACTTCGAGACCAGCCTGGCCAACACGGTGAAACCCCATCACTACTAAAAATACAAAAAAAATTAGCCAGGTGTGGTGGCGGGCACCCATAATCCCAACTACTCGAGAGTCTGAGGCAGGAGAATCACTTGAACCTGGAAGGGGGAGATTGCAGTGAGCTGAGATCATGCCACTGCACTCCAGCCCAGGAGACAGAGTGAGATTCCACTCACAAAAAAAAAAAAAAAAAAAGCCTCAGGTCTCTGTTGGGTAAATGCTTGGCCATATGAAATTTAATGCCCCTCTCAGGGCTATTCTTCCCATTTCAAGGCCTCTCCTCTCCACCTCTTCCTTCCTGCATGTCCTCTGAGGGGGAATTTATGCCTCCTGTTGGCAGTGTGGGAATGGGACTTGGACCTTTCAAGCTGGTCTCTCCTGAGCTTCCTCTCGTCCCTTCTGGTCACTGGGATTCTGCATTGGCGTCCAACAACCCCTAGACACAGTACTACCATTGTCTTCATTTTACAAATAAGGAAACTAAGTCATAGAGAAGTCAAGTAATTTGGCCAAACTCACAAGTTAATAAGTGATGAATTCAGGAATTAAACTACAGTCCAGCTGCGGAGCCTGCGATCTTCCCCGTTATAGGAGGAGGGTGTCATGTACAAACAGGGCTTTGAGTCTGGCCCCTGAATGTCTTCCTCCAACCAGACTGCCCGTCCTCAACCTCATCTGACATAAAAATTCTGGAGCTGTCTCTGTTAGAAAGTACGCAGAATACAAAACCACAAAGCTACAGAGGCCCAGCAACGTGGAATTTGAAAAACAGATGGACGAGTCATCACAAAGGACGTGTCGGGAAAATTAACGAGTAAGGAGCAGGTTGCTCAAGTGGAGCTGACTAGTCTGAGATCATTTTTTAAATGCTTACCTGAAAAGTCTGAGTCATGAGGGGTCTGATGACTATGAAGGGAAGAGCGCACAGGGGTTAAGGGCTTAGGACTTGGCTTTGTTTTAGAGAGTAAGAGATGAGTTTCGCACACTGTAGGGAATTCCAGGGACCCAGCATTTATGTAGAGTACACAATTTATAAACATGGCGTAGATCTGAAATTCTCCCTTGAATGACCTGCACTGAAAGTTTTATTTAGGAAATGTCTGTGTTTCAGACTCTCGCCATCTCTCTCAGCCTCACCTTGTCCTGGCTTAGATCTTCTTCAAACTGGATGGACAAGGGGTCTGCTTTCTCTTCTAATTTTAGTTTATCCACAATTCAAGTAGAGTTCTCTTCATCACAAGGAGTCTCAATGGTATCTTTCACATAGGATATGGTTTATCAGAAAGCAGCACAAAGAAGCAAAATTTTCTGTGAAATACAGCCTGATATGGTCATGTCTGTGACCCATTTTCCCACAAACTGGCCCCTCTGACAGTGGCCACCGTCCCTGGATTTGGAGATCTGTCCTATGCCTGCTTAGGCTTCTTGACATATCTGGAGCCATCATTTGCCTAGAAATGTCCTATGTGCTTGAGTGCTGGTCTTCAAATTTTCTGTCCTGTATATGCTCAAAAACAATTTTGAAAAGCTGTTTTCCCTCATCTGTTTATGTTTAATGTAAGTTTTTATCATCCATTTAATTATTGCAAAGAATGTAATTTCTACCATATTGTAAATATAGGCATTGAAATAATAAAGCAGTTTTACTACTCTTCGAAATGTTTCCAGTGGACTCTAAACACTGTCAGTATCTCAATACTCATCATTATCCTATTTATTTTATTTTATTTTGAGAGATGATGGGGTCTTACTGTGTTGCCCAGGCTGGTCTTGACCTCTTGGACTCAGGCAATCCTCCCACCTCAGCCTCCCAAAGTGCTGGGATTACAGACGTGAGCCACTGCACCCAGTCTCCATTCTTCTTCTCTCTCTCTGAGTGTGTGTGTGTGTGTGTGTGTGTGTGTGTGTGTGTGTGTGTGTGTGTGTATGTGACAGAGTTTTGCTTTTGTTGCCCAGGCTGGAATGCAATGGCACGATTTTGGTTCACTGAAACCTCTGCCTCCTGATTTCAAGTGGTTCTCCTGCCTCAGCCTCCCAAGAAGCTGGAATTACAGACATGTGCCCCTACACCCAGCTAATTTTGTATTTTTAGTAGAGATGGGGTTTCTCTATATTGGTCAGGTTGTCTTGAACTCCCAACCTCAGGTGATCCAACCGCCTCAGCCTCCCAAAGTGCTGGGATTACAGGCATGAGCCGCTGCGGCCAGCCTCCAATATCCTTTTTAACAATATATAAGCAAACTCTTCCTCAATAGTCTAGGTTTTTAAATGGTTCCTCCTGCTCTATGAACTTACAGTCCCATTTTACTTTCTTCACATTATTCTACTGGGCTCTCTCCATATATAACATCAAATACCAGTAATATATTCTACTGCTGTGTATATATAACAGTATATCTAATTAATAAACCTTATCTCTTACAGCAGTTTTTGGCTCACAGCAAAATTAAGTGAAAAGTACATGGGTCCCACAGACTTCCTGCCCCTGAGCAGACACGACCTCCCCACCTCATTTACATCAGGGTTTACTCTTGCATGTTCTATGGGTTTTGACAAATGTGCAGTGACATGCATCCGTCATTGCAGTATCATAGATAGTAGTTTCACACCCCAAGAATCCTCTTGCTGGACCTAGTCATCACCCCACCCTCGTAACCCCTGGCAACCATTGACTCCTACTGTCTCCACAGTTTCATCTTTTCCAGGACGTCATACTGTCTGTAATATTCTTTTCCTTGAAAAGCTTTTATTGATCACCTGAACATACTTCTCTGCACCAAAAGATATGTTTTAAAGTTTATAAACTTCAAAAAAATTTTCTATGCCCTGTGAGACTCTAAGTGTTCGATTTATAGCACCCCAGTAACTTTCTGGTGAAAGTTAAATAAAAATGCTTTTCTTATGACATTTTTCCATATTTTTGAGAAAATATGAACCATTAACGTACCTAACATTTTATTTATGGGTTTTTTTTGAGGTGGAGTCTCTCTGTTGACCAGGCTGGAGTGCAGTGGTGCGATCTTGGCTCACTGCAACCTCTGCCTCCAGGGTTTAAGTGAGTCTCTTGCCTCAGCTTCCCATGTAGCTGGAACTACAGGTGCCCACCGCTATACCAGCTAGTTTTTGTATTTTTAGTAGAAATGGGTTTTCACATGTTGGCTAGGCTGGTCTCAAACTCCTGACTCAGATGACCCACCCACCTCGCCTCCCAAAGTGCTGGAATTACAGGCATGAGACACCTTGCCCGGTCAACTTACCTAACATTTTAAAAATAACAAAACTTATGAAAAAAATGTTGTTAAGTGCTTATGAAATGCAGGACTATTCTAAGGGCTTCACAATAACTCTGTGAAGTGGATACTATTTTCACTCTCATGTTTACAAATATGGAAACTGAGACCCAGAAAAGTGAAGGAGTTTGTGCAAAGCACTGAAATTGGATTAAAAACCAGAAATTCAAGTTCCACAATCTGTGCTCTTAGCTGCAATGCCATATGGCCTCTCTATGTGTCTTTTATCTTAAGATGTAACATTAACATTAATCAGTTGCAACTTACAACACTTTCTCCTTGAAATCATGCAAAATACACAATTGCTACCTAAACTAAAAAACCAGTGAACAGGAAGCTCTTTCCCCTTACAGAAAATGGTATACATTCAGGGAAGTATGCTTCATAGCACATTGCTGTGTCCTAACAGGTTGTTTATAAATCTTGAATATTCTAAAACAGGCAAGCAGACGGATAAGGTGAGTTGGCAGCCATGGAATTTTTCTCCTTGGTTAAATAAGGCGCTGCCTTCTCTGTTCTTTCTGCTGATTCTGCTCCTGCTCTAATGTCATGAGATACCTCGAGAGGGACACCTTTTTAAAGAGTAGATGGAAAGGAAGAGATTGTGAAAAAAAAGGAAAGAAAAAAAGAAGTTTTTATTACTCCTGTTACTTAATTCTACAGGGTATCTGCGTAAATAACATCTTAACACATGCCAAAATTACCAATTCATTACCCTCCGCGTAGCCCTTCACAGGATTTCACATGAGGCAGGGGTAAACGGGAAGTCCTACTCTGGGTATATGATCCCTAAATTAGAGGTGTTTAGATTTTTGAGGTATCCCTTTACTAAAGGGATTATTTGTCAAGTAAAGGCTTTGACACCCCAAAATGTTCTGCACCCTGCAGAAATATGGTCATAATAACATGGGAGCTACAGAGAAAATGTTGGACGATCGTCAAAGAGTCAGAAAAGTGCAGCCCTGACCACAGAGGTGCTCTCAGACAGATCAGTTCTAGGCAACAAGCATATACGGAAGTTGAAGATCTGGAAGATGGTTCCCATCGAACAACCCACACCTGCATAATACTCTTCAGGAAGTCTTTTTGTACGTCCAAGACGTGGGGCACAGATGCGATGTGAAGATCATTCATTGTGCTAAATCCACGGTGTAAAGGCACAGGTCTAGATGGGCAGCCCTTTAACCCTGTCTGCTTCCTGGACTTTTGCTTGGGTCAGACGTGCCTGGTGGGCTGGGGCTTTGTCAGATTACAGGAGTGATACACCTGTATTCCATGACGAAAGCTGGGTAATGATGCTTCCAATCTCTACCCACACGCCCCAGTTGCTGGGAGTAATGAGATATTCACAGCATAACTATGTGAATCAAGCACAAACTAAATTGCTCACCAGGGATTTCCCCCCTTTTCTCCTTCCTCCAGCTCAAAATGCCCATTCATTTATTTCGTGTTTATCTTAGGAAATAATTTTTTTTTTTTGACACAGTCTCACTCTCCCCCAGCCTGGAGTGCAGTGACACGATCTCAGCTCACTGCAATGTCCGCCTCCCAGGTTCAAGTGATTCTCCTGCCTCAGCCTTCCAAGCAGCTGAGAGTACAGGGGTGCCCCACCATGCCTGGCTGTTTTTTGTATTTTTAGTAGAGACAGGGTTTTCCATGTTGGCCAGGCTGGTTTCCAACTCCTGACCTCAAGTAATCTGCCTGCCTCAACCTCCCAAAATGCTGGGATCACAGGTGTGCGACACAACGTGTGGCCAGAAAATAAAAATTTTTATTTACATGATGTGCCTGGTAATAACTTAAGAGCTTTTTTGAGCTATACTTTACATACCATATAGTTCACCTGTTTAAAGTATATAAACCTAGCTTGGCACAGTGACTCATGCCTGTAATCCCAGCCCTTTGGGAGGCCAAGGCAGTAGATCACCAGCCTGGTCAATATGGCGAAACCCCATCTCTACTAAAAATACAAAGATTAGTCAGGTGTGGTGGCACTCACCTGTAATCCCAGCTACTTAGGAAGCTGAGGGAGGAGAATCTCTTGAACCTAGGAGGCAGGGGTTGCAGCGAGCTGAGATGGTGCCACTGCACTCCAGCCTCAGTGATAGAGTGAGACTTCATGTCAAATTTAAAAATAAATAAAATAAAAAGTATATAAACCAACGATTTTAGGCTGGGTGCAGTGGCTCATACCTGTAATCCCAGCACTTTGGGAGGCTGAGGTTGGCAGACCACCTGAGGCCAGGAGTTCGAGACCAGCCTGGCCAACATGATGAAAACCCATCTCTACTAAAAATACACACAAAAAAATTAGCCAGGCGTGGTGGTGGGCACCTGTAATCCCAGCTATTTGGGTGGCTGAAGCAGGAGAATCACTTGAACCTGGGAAGCAGAGGTTGCAGTGAGCCGAGATCATGCCTGAGCCTGGGCGACAGGGCGAGACTCTGTCTAAAAAATAATAATAATAAATAAAACCAATGGTTTTTAGTATATTGATAGAGTTGTACTTGGTGAACCTTTTCATTTACAAACTCAAATCTTTTTCTCTATTTCACTTCTTTTTTTTTTTCCTTCTAATTCTTCTCTTCCATCTCTTCTCTTCCTCTCTGTTTTGAG